TCCGCAGGTGCTCGTCGCGCGGCGCCGCCGTCGGCGCGGCGTCGTCGCGCGTCGCGCCGCCGAAGCGGTCGAAGAAGGCCGTCGTCGAGAGGCGCGCGTCGTCGCGCGGCGCTGCCTCCTTCGCCTCCGGCGGCGGCCGCGCCTCGGCGACGGTCCGCCGCGCGGGCGCCTCGGCGACAATCCGCCGCGCGGGCGCCTCGGCGACGGTCCGCCGCGCGGGCGCCGGCGCGGGGCCGGGCGCCGGCGCCTCGTCGTCCGGCGGGAACGCCTCGGGCGCGTCGCGGGCGCCGGGCGTCGCGCCGCCGCGCCGCGGCGGCGGCGCCTCGGGCGGCTCCGCCGCGGCCTCCTCGACGAAGTCGTGGAAGTCGTCCTCGTAGTCGTCCTTCTTCGCCGGCGCCGCGGGGACGGCCGCCTCGTCGCGCTTCGGCGCCGCGGCGTTCGCCGGCGGCGCGGCGTTCTCGTCGGCTTCGTCGTCCGCGAGCGCGACGGACCACACGGAAACAAAGTTCATGGCGCAGCAGGCGGCGACGGCGCGGTGCGACGCCGCGCGCACGAGCTGCAGCCCGTCCCAGGCCCCGCGGTCCTCGCTCTCGAGGCACCGGAGCTTGGGCGCGTCCCAGGCCCACTGCTTCGCGCCGTGGTCGGTCGCGCAGACGACGGACTTGCCCGACCGGGAGAAGCAGAGCGCTTTGGCGTTGGCGGTCTCCGGCGGCGTGCAGGCGAGCTCGCTCCAGGTCTCCAGGTCGAAGAGGCGCGCGCGCCGGTCGGAGCACGCGGCGGCCAGCACGAACTCGAAGGGCGAGAACTCGAGCCTCGTCGCGCGGCAGGTGCCCGACTTCTCATTCGCGGCGAAGGAGCGCAGCAGCTTCCCCGCCGTCAGGTCCCAGAGCCGGACGAGCCCGTCGCGCCGGCTCGCCGACGCGATCCAGCGGCCGTCGGGCGAGAACTTGAGCGAGTCGACCTCGCCGCCGTGGCCCTTGTACGTCTGGATGCAGGACTTCTTCCGCGCGTCCCAGACGCGCACGGCCTCGTCGGCGCCGCCGGACGCGAGGAAGTCGCCGAAGGGGTGCGTGTGGCAGCAGAGCACCTCGTTGCGGTGGCCGTTGAGCGCGCGCGCGCACCGGCCCTCGGTCAAGTCGTAGAGCCGGACGCTGCCGCCCTGCGCGCCGCTCACGAGCGTGTTCTCCGCGTCGTCGAAGCACAGGCAGCTGATCGGCGACGAGTTGCCGCCCAGGCTCCAGACGTTCTGCGCGCCCGGGTCGCCGGGCCGCAGGCGCCAGACGTTGGCGCGCTTGTCCTCGCCGCCGGAGGCGAGCACCTGGTGGCTCCGCGGGCCCAAAGCGACGCAGGTGACGACGGCCGGCGACGCGACCCACTCGTGGAGCTTCGCCGCGCCCATGGCGGGGTGCGCGGCGCGGGCGCCGACTCCCGCTGCGACGGTTCGCCGCGGTTTATGAGACGCGACGGAGACGGGCAGATGAGCCGGGCTGCCTCTGCTTGAGCCTCAAGTTGAGGGCAACGCTGGCTGCGAGTCGAGTGCTGCAGCAGCCACGAGGCCGCGGTCTGGGCCGCTCTCACGCGACGCCAACGCGCCATGGCCGCCCTGGCCCTCGACCCGTCCTGGGCGTCGGACCTCGCGTCGGACGTCTGGCCGCGCGACGGCGCGCCGGCGCACCGCATCTTCGTCGCCGGCGCCGCGTCGCACGCCGGCAAGTCCACGGTGTGCCTGGGCCTGCTCAGCGCCCTCGCCGAGCGCTGGGGCGCCGGGAGCGTCGCCTACATCAAGCCGGCGACCCAGGACGAGCGGCTCGACGGCGTCGCGCGCTGGTGCGACGCCCGCGGCGTCGCGCGCGTCGCCGGCGCGGACTGCCCGCTCGTCTACTACGCCGGCTTCACGCGCGCGTCCGCGTGCGAATCGACGATTCAACCCGACCTCCATGCGCGCGTAGTCGAATAGTTGACACGCGTCCTTCGGCCGTGCTTCGAGAACTCGATGAGAGTCATCGATTCGTCCGAAAATCAGCCGAATCGACTTCGATGTGCGACCGAGCTCGTTTGGCCCCGACGTCCCGGCTCACCGGTCGATTGGCACGCAGGCGCGCGTTCCTCGACGGGCGCGCGGGGACGTCCGAGGACTGGCTCGACCGCTGCGAGCGCGCCGCGGCGCGCGTCGCCGCGGGCAAGAAGTTCCTCGTCGTCGACGGCGTCGGCTTCCCCGCGGTCGGGAGCATCTGCGGGACGTCGAACGCGGCCGTCGCCGCGCGGCTCCGCGCGCCCGTCGTCGTCGTCGCCAAGAGCGGCGTCGGCGGCGCCGTCGACGCCGTGGACCTCGCGGCGACCTACTTCGAGCACGCCGGCGTGCCCGTCCTCGGCTGCGTGTTGAACAACGCGCCCGCGGAGGGGTTCTACGCGCGCGACGCGGTCCTCGGCCCGCTGTCCGCGCACTTCGCGACGTCGCGGCTGGCGCTCTACGGCGTCGCGCCCGTCTCCGACGCCCTCGCGGGCCTCCGCGACGCCGCGGCGACGGACGCGGGCGTCGACGCGGACGCGGGCGCGGCGCACGTCCGGAAGCACGTCGACGTCGACCGCGCGCTCGCGGACGCGGCGCGCGACCCCTGGAACGCGAAGCGGCGGCCGGCGGCGCCCGCGGACGCCGCGCCGCCCGCGGACGCCGCGGGCCTCCGCGCCGCGATCCAGGCGACGGCCGCGAAGGCGGGCGCGGCGACGGCGCCGGGCAAGTGATGCGCGAAGTAGCCCGCGCGACGAGCGCCCGGCCGGCCCCCACCCATGACGGCCCCGCGGCGGCACCGCGCGCGTTCTCGTGCGCGGCGCCCGGGGCCCGACCAGCGAGGTTAAGCCTGACCTGAGTAGACCACGCCCCTCCCCTGCGGAGAGAGACGTGCGAGAAGCTACCAGGATAGCTTAGGCTACGCTCGAGCCAACCCAGGCCGGGGGGTCCGCAGGCGTCAGCGCTGGCGAGAATCGTTCAACGCCTGGCCATCTTTTCGACCTTCCACGCTCACCGCACACTCGCCACGCGTCATACTCACACCTCGTACCTCTCTCGTAGCCTCCCGGCGTCCCAAACAAGTCCCCCCCCC